TTTTTTTTTTTTTTTTTTTTGTCCTTTTTTGAGACCGGCCGCACCCTGCTCAGCCAGTGAGTGCTGTGAGCGCACTGGTCATCCCTATATAGGATCCGAACCCGCGGCAGGAGCGCTGCTGTGCTCCCAGCGCCGCGCTCTCCTGAGTGTGCCACAGGCTCGGCCCTGAAATCTACTTTATATGATATTAATATAACCTCTCCTGCTTTCTTTCGATTGTTTGCATGATATATCTTTTTCTATACTTCTACTTCTCACCTGTCTATATAATCTAAAAAGAGTTTCTTCTAGGTAGCATATACTTGGTTTATTTGTTTCAAAAATCCATTCTGCTGATGTCTATATTTTAACTGGTGTATTTAAACTGTTTATATTTAATGTAATTATTTATATGTTAGGGCTTAAATTTGTCTTTATTTTTTGTTTCTGGTTATTTTTTCTGTTTCCTTTTTCTGTCTTTATATGGTGGTTCATAGTAGGATATTTTTTAGAATTTTGTTTTGACTTACCTTTATGATATACCAGGGTACTTCAAAACATTCAGGGAAAAATGGAATTAAGAGAGTATGAGTCCAGGAAATTTTTGAAGACCCCTCATATACATAGCATTACAGTTGACTGATGTTATCCTTTTGATGGCTTAAATGAATTGTAGAAAACTTACCTTCTTTTTTAAAAATCCCTTTGCCCTTCCATATTACAATGTAATTTCCTTAAATATCTTCTTTACATACATATAGAACCACATCAGACTTTGCATAAGAACTCAAGAGGAGAAGGAAAATCTGTCACATTTATTCATATTTCTGTTACTATGTTCTTTTTCCTGATGTTCAAAGACTTCGTTTCTGTTTAGATATCTTCTGTTAGCCATTATTTAAAGATAGTTTAAATGTCAAAAATTCTCTTAGTTTTTCTTAATTAAGCATGTCTTTATTTTTCCTTTATTCCTGAAGGATTTATTCACTGTGTATAAGATTCTTGGTTGACAGTTCTTTATTTCCAGCACTTAAAAAATATGCCACTTCTTTGGGCCTCCATGACTTCTGACGAGAAATCTGATAACATTAGCATTGTTTTTCTTCTAAGTGGTTATTTTTCTCTGGCTACTTTCAAGATTTTTTCTTTGTAAGCAAAGAGCAGCATGAAGGTATCAGGTGCTTATGAGGTGGGAGACTAAGAGCTCTGCACTTATTAGCTCTGTGACCTTGAGTAAACTAGTTAATCTGTGTGAGACTTAGTTGTCTTATCTGAAAATAATAATAACCACTGTTTTACCTGCAAACTAAATTTTTTGTGGTCATTTATTTTATTATTTATTAATGCATTTATATTTTTGCATTTATTGTTTGAGCCGATACTAAAGCACTTTATTACTAATTTTAGAAATAAATTTGCGCACCAGAAAGATAAAAGCAAATAATACAGGGGCATTAATGCTTTTAAAAACCTTTTTCAGCAGCTTATCAGGTTGCAGAATGGTTCACAAAGGGCTCTTTAGGCACTGAGAGGTACCATGAAGTTCCAAAAGAGTGAAAATACTTTCTTATTACTTACGTACTCAAAGGGAGCATAGAACCCTGAGATTTTCATAAGTAACTCTTTTCAAATTCTTACTATCTCTCTATCACTCTAGTCTATTTTTGCTCATACCAAAATGTGTAGATTAAGCAGCTATGTGTTTATTTTCATCTTAATATTAATTTTGCATCAGCCACTTTGAGGTTGTTTAAGCAAAACACTAACTTAATTTCTCTGTCATTTTTTTCTTGTTCTAGGCAATGGGCCTCACCATGACCGTTGCTGTACTTATAATGAAAACAACTTGGTGGATGGTGTTTATTGTCTCCCAATAGGACACTGGATTGAGGCCACTGGGCACACCAATGAGATGAAGCACACAACAGACTTCTATTTTAATATTGCAGGCCATCACGCCATGCATTATTCAAGGTAAAAATAGCACCATGTTTATAACATAGAAGTAGGACAAGAGGTAGCATTAGGACAATGGAAATATTTACTGTGTTCAAAACTGCAGTGTCTCCCTTTGGAGGGAGGTCTGTGGGCCTGCAGTGCTTTGAGGACATAAATTACAGTGAATCAGTATGTGAGCTTTTCTGGTTCTAGATGTGAAGGACTCTTTTTCATAGAATTATTTTATTAAATACATACCCTGGCATCAACATATTTTGACCAGATAAGAGTTAGCCAATCTCTGTACTGATAAAGTGGATTAAAAATAAAAACTGCGCTAATATATCCTAGATCAGTATTTGTATTCTGTATGCTATTGACTAACAATGGAACAAAAATTGATATCTCCTTATAAAATTTTATCAAAATAAACAGGTCTCAAAATCTGACATAAAAATAGATTGGGTGACATCATTTGCTTTGTTATTTATTAATATTTTAATTCATTTATATAATTATTATACCAGAAATATATGCTTAATAAAAATTGAAACACAGAGAGGATGCTAAATGAAAAGTAAGGCTCATTACACTGTCCTCCATTTCTGCTTATCAGATGTGATTATTTTAACCACTTTATGGTTAGTTTTTCTGGAGGTTAAATCCAAATCTTAAATAATATGTGTATACTTTACTTGTTAAAGTATCAGTTTAAACACAGCTATTGATTCCACTTTGTTACACATAAAAATTTTACCTCTCTTGTACTCGTCCTCTCTCCCCACTTCAATCCCAGACATTTAAAAAAGTTCTATTGTTATTTACCTTCATAAAAATCCTATTTTCTGACTCATCAATTTTTGACAGTGCCTCTCGATTTCCTAGTTTGTAAGAGCAGAGATATTTTTTGCTCCTATATTTTCTTCTACATCTACTTCCACCTACTAACTCCTGTTTTTCATTACTTTTACATTTTCAAGGTTTATACAATTTTTCTTCTTATTTTATTTATTTATTTTTTGTGGCTGGCCAGTGTGGGGAATTGAACCCTTGACCTTGGTGGCACTGTGCTCTAACCAACTGAGCTAACCGGCCAACCCTAGAATTAACGTTCAATTTAGTATATATATAAATGTCTTTCATTCTTTGAGGATTTAAAATTTAAAACCAATCTTCAACATTTAAAATATTATGTGAATGTTATTTATGGTTAAACTTGCAGTGTTTGTACCATAGACGAAGAGATGAATTCTCATGTTCTCAAAAAATATATTGCTTTGAATTAGAGACATAATTAATACAAACGGAGTTATAAAGCATAGGAGAGAGAGAAAATGCAACTTCGTCATAGTGTTAGAGAATTAATGTTTTTCTTGAACACACCTTTCTTACAAATGCATGTTAGATGTGGGCCTTGCTGATGGACTGGGTGCATGGTATGAGGCAGAGAGGAGCGTAACTTGTGGTTTTACGGCCCGAGCAATGGAATTAATGGTGTTGCTGCTTGCTGAGATGGGGAAGACTAGGGGATGAGCAGTTCAGAGTAGAATTTGAGATAAAAGTTCTATTTTAGTCGTATATTTGAAATGTCTGTTAGATTACAGAAAGGAAATCTGATATCGAGAGATTTGGGGAGAGGTTGGAAATGGAGATATAAAATTGAGGGTTATCAATATATAGATAACATTCAAATTGATGAGTCCAGATGAGACCATTTAGCAAATGAGTGAAATATAGAAGAGACAAAGAGAAGAAGCAAAAATATGGAGCCCTTGGGTCTGCACAATTTGGAAGCCAAGGAGAAGCAGAGGATCCAGAGAAAAGAATGAGAAAGAGCTTCTGTTGGGATGTTCTGATATTTAATGAGGATGTTTATGGGCCATTTTTCTTTTATCATGAATCACACTTGCTCAGCCCTTTTATCTGAAGAGTCATGTGTTGGTTTCTAGGGATTTTCTTCTACTATTTGATTGTTTCTACTCCTTTATTGTCTTTGCTCTGTGTCATTAAAGATGCTGAGATAGTTGTTGGACCCATTGGATTTATACCCTATTTTTAACTTTTCTTTTGTATTTTCACTTCCTGGTTTTATTATTTTACATTTCAGCAGAATTCTTCATTTTTTTCTCCCGATTAAACTGATTCTTTTTTCTTAGTTTTGGTAATTGTAGTCTTAATTTTCATGGACTCTTACTTATTCTTTTATTCCCTTTGGGTGTATGAGTTTGTTCTGGTTTATAAATGAATATACTCTTGAATCTTTCTTAGGAATACTAATGAGAATTACTTTAAAGTTCTCTTCTCTTACTGGAACTATCTTGTTTCTTCCTGAATCAGTTGTTCTTTATTTATTTTTATCTTTCTCTTTTGTGTGATTAGTTTTTTCAATAACTGGTGATTCTTAGTTGTTCATGCGTATTATATTGAAAGACTAGGTTGATTATATGTGGGTGGCATGAGTTTCTTCTGGAAAACTGGCTGTTATTCCTGTGAGAGTGTTGGCTGCAAGCTGTGCATGCGTGGGCAGGTTATGTCTCCCTCAGCAGACAATCTGTCTGGGCACTCCCTTCACCCCGCCTCAAGTGAAAAACCAAGGAGGACCTGTTGTGGGGTACAGTTCTCACTCTGACAGCCTTTGATCCCTCAAGGAGATGTTTTAATTTTTAAAGAAGGTATTTCTTCAGCTTCACATGCAGTGTCAAAGCTGTATGACAGGTGAGAAGGAAACATAGTTCATGTGCTCGACTATGCAAGAAAGATTACATTTCTTCATTTTCTTCAAAGCAACTTAGCTTTATATTTAAGTCTCTATTCTACTGAATTCTCAGGTGATTAAACCTATTATTATCCATGGAAGATGTAAATACTTATTTTTATATATGAAACATATATGTACTTATACCTGGGTATAAACTTTCAAAAAATTCATGGAAAAATGGAATTGAAACATAATACGAATCTTTCCATGAACTTTTTGAAGTACCCTCGTATATGTAATATGTAATGTATAATATATATATATATATGCAAACACACATACCTATATACACATATAAATGGGATAAAATCTCAGACTCATCAGTTTTAGACCAAACAAGAATTCTTTGTTTCTCTATGTATCTCACAATGAATGTAATTAGACACTTGGTGCTAAATAACAATTGTGTATAGTGGATCTGGTGCCATATATTCACTTTTAAGGAATCCTTCTAGTGTTTCTCACAGTTTAGGCTCAAAGCCACCTGCATGAGAATCTACTGGGTGGGGTGATTTTTAAAAATAAAAATCAATTGGGAGGTGTGATTTTAAAAAATGCAGATTTATGGTCCCCACCAAGACCTAGGAATTTTTATTTTTCAACATCTCTGTGTGATTCTTATGTGCATAAAAGTTTAAGAACTGCTGTGATTAGTCCAACAAAGATACTGGTTTAGAATAAAAAAGGAATATTTTTGTGTACCTTCAGTTATTTTAGTCTGAATCCCCTTAAAAGTATCAGCCACAGTTCACCCTCACTTGAAATTGGACAAGATAAAAATGTGTATTCAGTTTAAAAGAAAAGAATTGAAAATACATGAACAAATTTCATTATTTAATTGAAAACATCTAATTGTTATCTGCTTGCCATGTTCATCTGACTATGTTTAATGCTGAAATAGAGACATGAATGGTAGGGTATATGTTTGAGAATATGTAATAATAGAAGATTCAAATTTACTGAAGAATTTGTAATCACAGACTATCGCCCTTTGGTTTAAATATAAGAAGGGAATTATGCCTGGAATTTTTTTATGCTTTGGATAAATCATATCAGAATTGAATCGTCAGTATCCTTCATAATGGTAAACTTTCAAGAATACAAATATCTAACAATTAAATTTTATATAATTTAAAATTATATAAAATTAGAGCGTATTTATGGTAAACTTATTCATTCAGTAAGAACTGTGTGGATTACTCTGTGTAGTCCAGTGTTGAGTGCTGGACAATTAAAGATGGAGAGACAGTGATCCCTGCTGTCAAAGCACGCGTGCTCTAGTAGAAGTCCAGCACAGAAACCGCTGCAACGCAGTGAGATCATTGCAGTGAGGAAGTCGTGTATGCAGTGTGATCAGGAACAGAAGACTTTAATTCAAGGAAATCTTTATGAGGACGTAGAATGAGGACAGAAATGTGAAGGATGTTTTCCCAGCAGGACATTCAAGAAAGGGAAGTCAAGGTAAAGAGACCAGCAAGTGCAAAAGGTACAGAGATATAGGAGCAATGTTAGGGTGACCAAGTAATTTTGTCCAACTGGGATACTTCTGAGAGTAAAAGGAGGTACTTTTAATAATTAGTCTGGGTAACAGGTGTAACATAAGACTCTACAAGGAACACCAGGACATATGGCAACCTAGAGAACATGTCCTGTAGAAGAGAGCATTCTGGTACCTTAAAATATTCAGGTTCAGGGATAAGCTGATAAGCATTCTGTCTCAGTAAAGGAACTAGAAATCCTTATATAGAAATTAGCACAATTACACAGTGTGACTGTATTTAGAGGGTTTTATGTGGTACATTTTAAGTTTCTAATTTTAGCCAAGGTATACTCACACGTTTGAAGAATTTAGTAGATCTACGAGTTTTATTATGAAAAAAGAAATCTGCCTGCTTCTCCTCTCCCCACCTCACCGCCCCCAATTTTGTCTTTCCACAGGCACCCACTTTCACCTCTTTAAGCTGATTATTTGCTACTTACTTCAGGTAAATGGTAACTACAATATGATTATATTGCTACTTTTTGGTTTTAGGTTTGGTATCATCTATTGATTTTATACCGTGAAATATGAAGTTTTAGCTCTCTTTTCCTCTCCTTCTCCCACAAACCTCAGTGAGATCCCTCCTAGTGTTCAATCTTCCCAATCGAGTTCTACCATAATTATCAGGAGAGCAGTATTTCACATATATATATTTGTATGCCCGTGTAACTGCTTTTTAGCATCCCTGTTTGCCGATGTCTAAATATCCTTTGAAGAACTTACAGCTTCTAGGGTTGC